GATTGCCTTAATTTTGATTTCTTGAACTATCTGTGAGTTTCCACAATTATGCCTTCATTTGTTTTCTTTCTGTTGCCCTGGGATATAGTTCTTTCTTTCTCCGTCCTTTGTTTTGATTCAAGTATTCTGTGAAGGGCAGGTTTTAGGGACATGTATTCCGTTAGTCTGTTCATGTGGTGGAAGGTTTTCTTTCCCCTTCAACTATAATAGACATTTTTTCGCAGGGTAAAGTATTCTGGGTTGGTATCTATGGTCACATAAAACTGGAAATACCTTGTTCCAAGCTCTTCTGGCTTTTACAGTTTGCATTGATAAATCAGCTGTAATTCTGGTGGATTTTCCTTTATGTGTGAGTTGTTATTTTTCTTTCGCAGCTTTCAGTATTCTCTCTTTGTTTTGTATGTTTAATATTTTTGCTATGATATGCTGTGGGGAGTTTCTTTTCTGGTCCTATCTATTTTGTGGTCTATGTACTTCTTGTATTTGTATGGGCATCTCTTTCCTTAATTTGGGGAAGTTCTCGTCTGCAATCCTGTTTAAGATCTGGTTAATACTGTTAACTTGAAATTCTTCTCCTTCTTCTTTGCCTATGATACATAGATTTGGTCTTTTCATTATGTTCCACATCTTCTGCACATTCCATTCCTGAGGTTTTTAAAATATTTTTATAATCTTTGCTCAAGCAATCCAATTCTTCAACTTTATCCTCCAGTGTTGATATTCTGTTTTCTATTTCATTCATTCTAGCAGTGAGACTTTCTCCTGTTGTTTCAAATTTACTGAGTTTTTCACTTCTTTCTTCATTTCAGCATGGATTTTCTTCAGTGTTTCTATCTCTTGTGAATTCAGTCAGAAGTTGCTATCTTCTTTTAGTTCTTTGATTTGTTTGTGTGTTCTTTAAATTTCTTGAATTCTTTAATCATGTTTATGATCTGTGTCCTGGCTTATCTCCAGGGGGTTCTCTTCTTCTTGTAGAATTCTTCTACAGGGCTGGTGGAGTTTGATGGGAACATGCTGTTTTGGTTATCCCTGTTATTATTTTTGCATTCCAATTTTGACCTATGGATTGTTTTTGTTGCTTGTGATTCTGGTATGACACTCGAGCCTTCCTTTGCTGAGTTACAGCCTGCTTCTGTTTGTATTATTGCTATACCTTGGTTGTTTTCTTATTGGGTATGCATCCCTGCTTTGTCTATGTTTCAGGTTCTCTCAGATTTTATTTTGGAGGGAACTAATGGCTTCAGATCACCTATTCAGAAGTTCCCAGAGAGGGTCAAGTAAGGCTCCAGTCAGGTACACTTATGCTTCCTTCTAAAATTTTGACTCCTACTAGTGGGTTCTCAGGACACAATTTGGGAACTTCACTAAGGGGAGGCCTGATTTGTGCACTCTCAGGCAGTCTACTGAATTCTCAGTCTCTACACAGGCCAGATCAGGCACTCTCAGGACTTCTGCTAAGGTCTCTGTCCTAGAGTAGGGATTTTTTAATTTGATATATTTTATTAAGTATAAGAATGTCAATTCAGAAACAAAGTAGGCAATGTTAGGCTATTTATAGAGTTAAAGATATCCCCAGATAATCTGTAAATAGGCTCCAGATCTGTAACTTTCCAGATTCTCCATAATCTCTGGAGTGCCAATCAATTGGTGAGACTTGCATTAAGTTCAGTAGAAGGTGCAGGAGTTCTTCTGGGAACTTTCTTTCACAGCATGTGCCATAATAATTCCACCCTCAGGGTACTCAGAACTTTTATTCTTTTTGTTTATTTCTGTGTTCTGTAAATTCTCTCCTCATTATCCATCTGTCTATAGATTTTTAAATTTGATATATTTTTATTTTGTGTGTATGTGTTGTGCTTGCGTGTGTAAAAAATTGCATGTCCGTGCATGCAATGCCTGTAGAAACCAGAAGAATGTGTCAGATGCCCTGAAACTGGAGTTATGGATGGCCATTAGCTACCCATGTGGGTGCTGGGAAGCAAATCTCATCCTCTCCAAGAGCAACTAGAGTTCATAACTGCTCAGCCATTTCCCCAGCCAGTCTATAGACTTTTTTAAAAACACAAAATGAATATAGCCTACAGTAAGTGCAGGAATCACATTTAAGAATATACTTATAAACCAAAACTGAAGACAAATTAAGTGCTCAAAAAGTGAAGTATTAAGATGTTTTCTAGGAATAGTGCATGAAGGTTTTAATATACAAAGGAATACATAGGAATGTATCCCTGGCTGAGAAGTCCCAGACCAAGCTGGCTAACTAGACTACCTGGAATCAATGAACTCTGGGTTCACTGGGAAACCATGCCTCAGTAAAGGAGTGAGAAATCAAGGAAAACTCTGAATCAAGAACCCCAGCCTAGCAGGCTTCTCCAGTCTATTTCTAATGGATGTTTCGAAAGCCCAATCTGAAGATGTTTTGATTCTCTCTCTGAGGGTATTTTGGTTTTGCCTTCCTGTCTGTCTCTCTGTCTCTGTCTCTGTCTCTCTCTCCCTCTCTTTCTCTCTCATGTATGTGTGTCACATGCTATTATTATTTTACATTGTATTTCTATGTACTTAATAAACTTACCCATTCAAAACTGAAAACACAGCTATCAGATCATTCTCTGGACACTTCAGGACTGAGAGATAATAGTGTTTGAATGTATGAAGATCATGTAGTGAAATTCATCAAATGAACAAAATAAAGGGGAAAAGCTATAAGATCCTCTCAGGAGAGGCAAAACAGTTATGGAATAAATTTCAAATCCTTTCCTAGTGAACAGTCAGCAAATCAGAAAGACAGAGAGTTCTAAACCATGAAAAGGACTTCCATAAAAATACTCCAAGTCACAATTATTAACAAAGAGTGAATACTTTACTTGAATTTTGATAAAAGGACAAGGATTTCCACTGAGTTATGATGGATATTTTAGCCAGGTCCATGAGACCTGAACTGGAAACAAAGTCACAGGAGCTGAAGAGTGGCTACATGAGTGCACATTAGTGACAGCATGACCATGTGCCTGGGAAATTCTGAGGGACACCAATGCCCCCCAGAGCCAAAGTTTGCAGTTAGCATGGTCACAGAACAAGAGGTCAGTTCACAAAAGTCAACAGTACCCCACAGCACACAGAGTGCTATTCAAAAACACAAGCTACTCAGAGGTCATAAAGATCATTCATTCAACAGTGAACACCTGAAATGCTCCCAAAAGAAAAGAAGGTGGAAGTGAATGAATGAAAAAAATCCATGTTTCTGCCTCAGGATAGTGAAGGTCATTGTGTTGCCAGTTCTTCCCAGATTGTCATAAATTTAATCCAATTTCAATAATAATTATAGAAACCTAATAAAAAAAACCACATATTTTATTTCTCTAAAACTGGAAATTTGTCTTTTTAAGATATAGATTTTTTTAAATCTTCAACTTGGAAGGAAACATCTGTAAATCATCTTTTATTTTTTTACCAATAACTGACCTATTTATCAATCTATCATCTATCTATGTATCATCTATCATCTATTAGCTATCTATAATGCATAAATGTATGTGTACATATAGTTTAATA